CCCCCCCCCCTTTCTATCTATTTCTCTCTCCTCACACATGTCATCCTCCAAAGCTGTGAAGTGTGTTGGCTGTTTCACAAAGGTGAGGCACTGAATAAAGATAAGTGAACTGCAAGCAAGACATGCTAATCACACAGTTAATAAAAGCCCTTATCATCATTTATTTATTCACATTTTTCATTTATTTATTCACATTTTTGCTAAGCTTAAGAACAAGCATTATCCAACTTCCAAGCCAGACAGTCCCTCCTACTCAGTGTACAGATACTCAAAGAAATCCGCAGAAAGCACCCTACAGGGTTATTAGGACAGATGACGACTCCATTTTACATCTTTGAATATGCAGCCGTGTTGTCATTTGCATTTCCAGGATCGCACACTTAAGGGAATTCCTTTCCAAAGTGAAAACTTGGATCCAATTGCTCATTAACAGAAACACGTGCACCTTTTTTTTGTATCTCTTGCTTGTTTTAGGTACAGGAGGAGCACTGTGATACATCCGACAAGGCTTACCATGCATGAAAGACATGCTAAGCTGTCCTTCATGTGTTCCTCCCACTGGGGGTCATGCTGTGTTAATGTGGTTCCACACTGTTTCCAGCTTCAAGTAAAGAAGATTGTGATGATAAATGAGCGTCACCTACTCATCAAACTGTCACTGCTTAAGTGCCATCATTTCGGAAATGGGGTACAAATTCATATTTGTCAGACATTACTGAAAATTTGGCAGGAAGTTGAAACAGTGCTTTGAATAAAAAAAAAGAAAGAAAGAAAAAAGCACTTGGACGTACCAACAAATGTTTTTGCAGTGGCCTTTTGTGTGTTTGCTTTTTGGCTGAAGGGCTTTAATCTGTGCATGGTAAAGTGCGAAAGTATGCATTCACTTTTCTATTTTATGAGCTCCAATTATATACAGCATAATGGAGGGTGCAGAAGAAGAAAAAAACATACAGTGTTAATAGTTTGCTTGCGGAAACATGGATGTTTGAAGAGAAGTCTCCATTACTACCAACTAATTGGTTTTTCACTTCATTTGAGTGAATGATCACCAGCTGTGTAAAGAGGCACAATAGTGTCAACTCTGACAACTTAGCACTCCTCCACTCTGAGTAACTCTCTAATGTAGTCTCTTAAATTGCTCATTTTAATGTCCACTGACATTCACATTAGTAAAGGACAGATTCATTTGGAAATGTAGTTTTAGAAAAGGTTTCAAAAATCTTTTTTTAAGCAACTTGTTTGCTAATTGTCAACACGCAATAAAGGTTTTTTTTAGCAACTGCAAAATATCCACAAAAAATTGCTGAAAATTAGATGGAAGTTTACATCATGGTAATTTTTATTCATTTTTAGTGAAATAATTCATCTATAGAGGAATTTTATTTGCATGGAAATGTCCCAAGTAGGGATGGGTATCGTTTCGGTTTTATCCGATACCGGTGCCAAACCGGTACTTTTGAAACGGTGCCGGTGCTTAAACAGTGCTCAAACCGGTGCTTAAAGAATGGAGAACACAAAATTGGTCCAAAAACCTCTCATGTTCAGCTGTTTTTTTTGTAAAAAGAAAACAATGTTAGCCTTTTCTGCAGCTATGGGGCATATATAGTATCACTCTTGGCTGGAAGCAGTGCTTAAACAATGGAAAAAACACAAACTTTGTCCAAAAACCTCTCATGTTTAACTGTTTTCCACTTTTTCTTTGGTCATTTTAGCCTTTTTGGCCAGGGTGAAGGGAGTATCTGCCATCAAACAAGAAGACAGCCGCATGTAGCTATGATGATGTTTGCTAGTTCACCTTACATGCATTAATGTAATAACGTGGTTAGCCTACTCAACGTAAATTACACACGAACAACATTAAGCTACTCACGCAGAGAAGAACGGCTGCTGCTGCCATCATCATCCGTCATCATTTCTGCTACACTGGCAGGGCTAGGGGCCAGGACTCTCCTCTTCGGGTTTTTGGGGGATGTTGCTAACTCCGGGTCCGATAACAGGCACCACACCCGCAGTAGATGTGCTCGGTGTGAGGTCTCGCAGCAAGCTATCAAATACGGCGCATTTCTCGGCTTTTAAAAAAAACGCTATGCGTCGCCAGGTGTTTCATCGATTCGAGGTGTTACCTCCTTTGACAGTATCACCTTAAAGCACTTGTTGCAGGCTGCTGAGTTTGCATATTTTGCTGTGAAGTACAGCCAGACTTTTGACCGCTTCGCCTTGGGCATTTTTAATCTGTAGCTCTGCTCTAAAAGAACGTACGTACCTGGACCCGCCTACTATCCTCGAAAACGTAAAATGATTGGCTACTAGAATCTAAAGTGTATCACAGCTCAGGAAAAAAAAAGCACCGAAATGTGCGCTGCTTTTCGGTCTGGTTACTACCGTTTATGTCAGATACCGGTACCCACCCCTAGTCCCAAGTGTGGTTTAGGCAGTCATTGATTTGAGATGCTACCCATGTATCTGAACCTGATTCTGCATCTGATTACTAAAGTAAGGATTGCACAAAATCTCTCTCCCATTATCTACAGTCATGTATTTTTTTTAAACAGTGTATATCTTCAGATGGATACAAGGGGTGGGTCAGACAATGAGAACAATCAGTTGCCAAGAACAACCCTTGCAGTAGTAATCGAACATACCAGCACCTGCAATTCAAACATGACGTATGTTTCTTTAGCAATAATCCACATTTCCATCTGAAATGTATGAAAGTGTTGCCCTGTATTGTGGAGAAGAAATTATATTCCAACCCATTTCAGTCGAAGCTGGTGTTGAAGCTCGCTCTGAAGTTGCTGTAATAATCATTTCAAGTCAATAACAGAAGAGCAAAGATTATTACAGAAAGAGTGTTCAATCACACATGGTTCCAATATCCTGAGATCAACAGTTCCTGCCATTTCCATATACCAGAATCAGTGCTGGCAATTATGACCAATCATTTCATCTAATGCCGCTTTCCAAATCAGGAACTTCCTCCTAACCACCTCAGTGGAGAAAAAGCATCTTCTCATAAATCTTGACTCAAAACCCGTTTTCCTCTCCGTGCTGTGATGGGTGATTTTCAATCCCTGCTGCCCCAACACATTCTCTGTGTCTGCCTCCTCTTGCGTGCAATCCTGTGTGATGCTTTTTACAATGACTCAGAGATGAATCATCTTCTGTTTTTTGCAACTGTCCACTTTATTACAAATTCTCATGTTTACGATGGAGAAATTGTTAAAAAACGACAAACACTTTTGATTCATAGCACTTTAGCAAAAATAAAAACTGACAAGTAATTGAATCTAAAAGTCAAGGAAGTCTGGTAGAGTATTTTTACCACCCGTGATGTTGTTTGTTATTAATTCAGCTTTCTGAGCTCTGTTAATTGATACTGTCCTTTCAGTGCAGGTATTGTGTGTTGTGTAAAAAGTCCAGATGAGCAAAGATGACTTCAAAAGCAAAAAATGCCATTCACTATTAGAGCTCACAGTTATCATCTAATCACCAATTAAACAGTAATCACTGACAGATAAACATGTTGATATTGTAGACCAGTAAATTAGGCATACATAATTAATGTATGTTTAATGAAATTGGCAGAAAATCACATTGCCTTCCCAAAGTCTGCTATGGTAATGCACAGTAATCTAGTTGCAAGTGAATGCTATTAACCCAGTGGTTTTTCCCCTACCCATCATTTATTAATGCTCACAATAACAACAACAACAACAACGCCCTAACTCAGACACACACACACACACACACACACACACACACACACACACACACACACACACACACACATACAGATGTTGTGGTTTTAAGTCAACTTATTTTTGGTTGTGTTGTTGTTTCAAATAAACAATGAGCAAGAGTGTAAAAAGATGACATGACCCAGAGCAGCAACTTCTATTCTAATCAGAGAGAGCCAGGTGACTGCAGTTATATGACTGATAGGGGGGGAAGAAACTCATTCATACAACATTTTAAAGACAACTTTGAACAAGAAATTATCAAGCCATGCCAGTAAACAGAAGAAATGAAAATAAATTAAATATATATGACACTGAAATATTTCTGCTTCAGGCCCAATAGATACTAGGTGTTCTGCAGATACTCTGGTCTTTCTTGCTACTTTACAAGCCACACCTGGTCTTTATCTACTTGGTACCAAATTTATCTCAGTGAAGATCAGAAGAAGGATCAAAAATGTAGAGACTAGCCCTGCAGGAACAGACCTGAATGTCTGGACTTTAGGCCAATGCAATGGATCATTTTGAAATCTGGCATTTCACTAAAACTTCACAAGCTCTTCTAAAGACATCCTCTGTCACTTGAATTTGAGGACATTTCATACAGAAGAAGTATAAGCAGCAGTATTAAAGTCCAGTTTGTGTGGAAAGTGTGGAAAAAAATAAATGCATATGTCTATGGCTAATACAAATGTGTGTCTGTGGCTTGATGAATTTGGATCCTTTTCCAAACAAGGCTAGTTATCCTGAAGCATAACCCAAATTAATATTAGGTAAAATATTTTAGCAGGTGTAAAACTGTGTTGTTCAGGTAGTAAGACAAAAAAAAAAGATTCAAATCAATACTAAAATTGACAGATTTGTTTCTTTCTAAATAATTTACATACTGATTTTGATTCTGATAACAATAATAATAAACCCCCAATAGGCACTAAGAGTAGGCATGAGGCAGCCACGTCACAGTTGGATTGAGCTATATTATATGCCGGAGCCAAGCTTTAGTGTTAATTAATATAAGAACTGCAGTGTTGGCTGAAGGAATGTGATAAGCTGTTGTCAAGCCAAAGGACAAATAAGAAAAAATCAATTTTATAAAATAGTAAATTTTGAAGCAACTTATTTTAAAAAGAGACCAAGTACAGCATTAACAATGTGATGTTTGTGTTAACAAGCAAACTGAGAAGATGTGTGATTAGTAGTGAGTGCCGCTTCTTTCCTAAACTGAACACTTATTTGT